CAGGTGATGGCAGAAGTGACGGAATGTTGCAGTGCGATTTCCACATTCATTGAACATGGCATGGAACGTCGTGAATCTCTCAACAAGGCGATCGGTAGATTTGACAACTTTATGTTTTTGACTTCCTATTCCTTTATATGGGACAAATACAATGTTTTTGCAAAATATCGTGATGCACGGCTCTTTTCTTTCAGAATCTGGGCTCTCAACTGTAAATGAGTCTCTGAACGGTTGTAAAGATAGTGCATCGAGTGGTATTGAAGAATTGCGTAAATGGATACAAGAATCTGAGGAGCTTTGTAAAACCGTTATGCCAAAGATTATTGCACTCTCAGATGGCTCTACTCTGCTCATCAACGAGAAACTAGTTAGTTTATCTACTGTATTATAGGGAATCAGAGCCTGTACATCTTTACTGACGTATTTTACAGAACAGCCAGATAGCAGAGTTCACGGTACTGAACACCGATGTTTCGCAGCTCCTTTCAGTTGTTAGGAACGAGACGATGAAACTATCGCATACACTGGAGGAGTTGAAAAAGGAGTCGGATTTTATGGTGAGCTACACTCTTTCCAAAAATCTTTTAAGGTGTTGGTCGCTCAAAGGTATGCTTCCAATCAGTCGCCAAAGGTATGCTTTTAATCAATCTTTTCGCGAGATTGAAGACATTGCGCTGTTCGCTTAGAAGAGCAATTTACCTATTTTCTAATAGCCCGAGGAGTTCCCCTCATCGATGTCCGTAGTGTGGGTGTCCGGAAAGTAATGGATAAGCGTGGTTGGAACTCACATCTCACTTTTTATTTCATTCAGCAGCATTCGTCTGCAATTTGAGCACGTTGTGTACACGCTGAGACACATTTTGCTGACAGCGCCTCAATACTTCTCCTACAAGTTTTCGCGAGTGGTGCCCGAAGAGTTTTTCTGTGAAAATTGTCGTTCTGTTGTCGGTCTGTTAATAAAACGAAAAGATCAAAGGCGAAGTGGTACCCTCATGTTGCTGGGTCCTGGTCCCCAACCCAACAACAAACAGCAAATAATAAGCAAATGCCGCAGGGAAGTTTGTGACCGCAGGTGGCGTCGGCCGGGTGTGGTTGCTCCAGCGAAGGTGCGCGGCCAGAGGGTACGTTAACCCCGCCGATGCAGACTCCGCATACTCCCGCGCGGCTCCAGCCACAAGATCTGACAGGCCTAAATCACGCAGTTTAAGCGTTAAAGAAGAACTAGAAGAGAGAGAGAGGCTCTTATCTTGTTAAGCTCGGCTACCCGCGACCATCTGACTGTCCTTTGGTTGTAGACGTGTAATTGTGACTAACTTGTCTTCATCCGGAGAAGCACTTTGTTGAGGCCTTGCCCATGAGTTCTGGGGAAGTACAAGTTCTGGATCGTTTTCCACGTTGGTTAATGTTTGTCAGACCGGAAGCGTGGATGGCAGCAAAGTGGCCTTGACCTCCTGGGCGTTTCATTGTGTGTCATTGCAGTAGATCGGAGGATGTCCCCGGTTGCTGCTATGCCTTGGCCAGCAACTGTGCCTCTTGATAATGAATGAGACGTCGCCCGCACATCAGCTGTGCGTTATAGCGAAGAAAATTGGTTATGAGGCCGTGTCTACGGCGCCCTTGATACCTCTTTCTAAGGGTGTCTATGGCACTACCGTATAACGCAACAGATGAGGGCTCATTTGTTGCACTTACTTGTTTCAGCGGAGCAATCTGTACTTCTTGTGACTGTGGGTGGTGGCCGATTGACGTTCGTGGGTATTCTGTCAGGGGGGGGGGGGGGGCGGGGGGGGGTGGGGGGGGGGAAAAGAGATCGCTTCGAGAGGGCAGGCCTTGCACTCTGGGTCAGCCATCGTTGGGTGAGAGACATAGGACGTCGCTACTGTTAATCCGCTTCTGGAGGGGGGGGGGGTCGTATTTGGTCGGGTTGGGAAAGAGGGGCAGCTTATTGCGTTTTGGAAAAAAATTTCGTGGTTGCTGACTTTTCGCGTGGATTTTCCCTCTTTGATGTGTACTATATGCCCACCCCCCCCCCCTTGACACACACACACACACACACACACACACACACACACACACACACACACACACACACACACACACACACACACACACACACACACACACACACACACACACACACACACACACACACACACACACACACACACACACACACACACACACACACACACACACACACACACACACACACACACACACACACACACACACACACACACACACACACACACACACACACACACACACACACACACACACACACACACACACACACACACACACACACACACACACACACACACACACACACACACACACACACACACACACACACACACACACACACCACACACACACACACCACACCCACACGCACACACACACACACACACACACACACACACACACACACACACACACACACACACACACACACACACACACACACACACACACACACACACACACACACACACACACACACACACACACACACACACACACACACACACACACACCAAACATTTTCTCATCTCTCT